TGCCCTAGAAAGAGAGATTATGCAAACTCGGCCTCCATTCTCAAGAGTTTCAAAGAACGAGATGTGATCCAAATGAAACCTACAAATTACTTAAAAGGACAGACAGAGTAGATGCAGGTAAGATGTTTCTCTTTGTTGGAGAGTCTGGAACCAGGGAGAACAATTTAAAAATAAAGTGGATGTTAATTAGGACTAATTATAGGAGAGTTCATTTTACTCAGAGGTTGTGAATCTTTGCAAGTTTCTAACACAGAGAGCTATGGGAACTCAGACATTGAGTATATTTAAAGTAGAGGTTGATAAATTTTTATTATCAATCGTATTAAAGTTATGAGGATGGAGTGGTAAAAGGCATTGAAGTATTTGATCAGCCATGAGCATATTAAATAGTTGTTCAGATTTGACAGGCTGAATGGTATACTCCCGTGCTTATGCCCCTGAATGACTCTGACTCCAGCATTCGCAGTTCTTTCTATCTCTGAAGGATCTTGATCATTTGGGCCTGTGGCCAAAGGAACGGCAGATGGAGTTTAATGCAGATAAATGTGAAGTGTTGCATTTTGGTAACCATGAAGTGGAGGTGCCGGTGTTGGATCAGGGTGGAGAAGGTTAGACGTCACATGACATCAGGTTATAGGTCCAACAGGTTTATTTGAGATCACAAGCTTTTGTAGTGTTGCTCCTTTGTCGGGTGAAGTGGCATCTGGCATTTTGGTCAGACAACTTCTGGCATTTTGGTCAGACAAACCAGGGCAGGGCCCTGGGGAATGTTGTCGAACAGTGAAACCTAGAGGTACAGATACATAGTCCCTTGAAAGTAACATCACAGGTAGACAGGGTGGTGAATAAGGCACTTGACATGTTTTCCTTCATCAGTCAGAGCACTGAGTACAGGTGTAGGGATGTCATGTTACGCTATACAAGACATTGGTAAGGCCACTTTGGAGCATTGGTACCATTCTCGTCACCCTGCTATAGGAAGAATGTTGTTAAACTGGAAAGGGTGCAAAAAAGGTTCCCGAGGACATTTCCAAGCCTGGAAGACTTGAGTTTAAGGAGAGGTTGGATAGGCTGGGACGTTTTCCCTGGAGAGTAGGAGGCTGAGGGGTCACCTTATAGAAGTTTATAAAATCATGAGGGGCACAGATAAGGAGAATAGCCAAGGTCTCTTTTTCCCAGGATAGGGGAGTCCACAACTAGAGGGCATAGATTTAAGATGAGAGAGGAAAGATTTAAAAGGGACCTGAGGGGTAACTTTTTCACATAGCAGGTGGTGCGTGTATAGAATGAACTGCCAGAGGAAGTGGTAGAGGCAGGCATAATTACTATATTTAAAAGACACTTGGACAGGATAGGAAAGGTTTTGAAGGATATGGGCCAAATTCAGGCAAACAGCTCCAGTTCAGTTCAGGAAACCTGGTCAGTATGGACAAGTTGAGATAAAGGACCTGTTTCCATGCTGAATACCCTATGACTCTGACAGTATAACACCCAAATCCCTTTACACATTTGCACATTCCAAACTCTCACCATTTAAGAAACATTCTGCACATCTGTTCTTTCTACCAAAGTGAATAACCTCACACTCTTCTGTATTACCATGTTATTGTGCATCACAAAGCCTATCCAAATCCTCCTTAAAATGTTTTATATCCTGTTCACAACACACATTCCTCTTTAGCTTTGTACCATCAGCAAATTTGGAAATATTACATTTAGCCCTCCACTTCAAAATCATTGATATATATTTTGAACAACTGGGCACCAATTACTGAACCTTGTGGTATTTCACTAGTCACAGTCTGCCAATGTGAGGATGATCCATTTATTTCTATTTTATGTTATGTCTGTTAGCCAATCCTTTAGCCCATGTCAAGATATTTTCCCCTATTCCATGTGCATTAACTTTGGAATCAACCTCCTGTGGGTTATCTTATATCAGGTTCTTCTGAAAATGCAAATATACTGACTCCCTTTACCATTTACGTCAGTAACATTCTCAAAAACCTCCAAAAAGTTTATCATACACAATTTTCATTTGCAGTGCATGCTGACTATACCCAATAAGGGGAGGTGATGGGGTAGCGTTATTATCACAACAACTTTAGTGATCACATCAGTTAATGTTCTGGGGACCCAGGATCAAATTCTGTCAGATAGTGGAATTTGAGTTAGTAAAAATTTGTAATTGAAAGTCGAAAGATGACCCTGTTGATTGTAAGGAAAAACCTATCTGGGTTATTAATGTTCTTTCGGGAAAGAAATCAACTTATCTGCCCTACATGTCACTCCAGACTAACAGCAATGTGATTGACTCTTATTTGTCTTTTGAAATAGGCCAGCAAGTTATGCCATAGTAACAATCACTGGAAAGTCTCAAAAAAGAAATGAAACCAGATGGACTACCTGGCATTGACCTAGGCACTGGAAATGACAATGGCCCTGTTGATCCAGCAAAGCCATAGAATCATAGAATCCCTAAAGTGCAGAAAGAGGCCATTCGGCACAGCGAGTCTGCACCAATTCTCCGAAGAGCATGTCACCCAAACCCAACCCCCTACTCTATCCCCATAACCCTGTATTTCCCATGGCTAATCTACCTAGCCTGCACATCCCTGGAAATGACAGTGCATTTTTTAGCAAGGCTAATGCACATAACCTGCACATCTTTGGACTCTGGGAGGAAACTGAAGCACCCAGGGGAAACCCACACAGACACAGGGAGAATGTGCAAAGTCCTTCTTACTAACAACTGAAGCTGGTGCTGAAATTGGGACAGCAGTCTTGTGGATTAGTGAAGCAACAGCCTGGCATAGACGCTGTCATGGAATCATACCTTACAATGTCCCAGACACCACCATCACCAACCCTGGGTATGTCCTGTCCCACCAGCAGATCAGATGCAGCAGAGGTGGTGGAAAGTTAGGGGATAGTTGCCCAGGGATTCCTCAGCTTTGACTCTGGACACCATGAAATCTCATGGCTTCAGGTTAAACATGGGCAAGGAAACTTCCTGCTGATTACCACATAACATAATCCCTCAGCTGATGAATCAGTACTCCTCCACGTTACACAACAATTGGAGGAAGCACTGGGGGCAACAAGTGTGCAGACTGTATTTTTTTTGGCAATTTCAATATCTATCACCATGGATGGTTCAATAGCCGCATTACTGATCGAGCTGGTCGGGTCGTAAAGGACATTGGTGCTAGGCTGGGTCTGTTGTAAGTGTTGAGAGAACTAACGAGTGGGAAAAACAAATTTGACCTCATCCTTACCAATTTGCTGGCTTCTGATACATCAGTCTTGAAGGAATATACAGTTAATGTGAGCCATGTTCTTTAAAGACTGTCCACTGCCTATCGATAGTCATACATTTTAACGTATTTTTCTGTTCCAGCTCAGCTCATTATGTAAAATGTTACCATAGGCTCTTTTACAGCAAGTTTATTAATTGGACCATTTTCATTCCAAAAGACTAAATCCAAAATGTCCTCCAGTCTAGTCTTTAATGAGCTGCTCTCGAAAACCATCCCTAACACATGCCAGAAACTTGTCTTCCAATTGGTTATCAGCTGCTCAATTGGCTTACCTAGTCTACGTGCAGATTGAAGTCATCCGCGATTACCGTGTTGCCCAGGCTACAAGCTTTTTTCATCTCCTGATTAATGCCATGCCCACACTACACTGTTTTTTGGTGGTCAATGAATGTCTGCTGCTCCTTGCTGTTTATTAGCTCCACCTCCCTTACTAATGTACTGATCACATTCTTTATCATCAGTGCGACTCTACCTCCTTTTCCTTCTGGTCCATCCTTTTCAAACATTGAATATTCTTGAATATTGAGTTCCCATTCCTGGTCACCACTATAATCATCATCCTGCAAAGGCAATTAGATCATACCTGTGTCTTGATTTTTGCCTCTACATCATCTACATTGTTGGGAATGCTGTGTACATTCAGATAGAATTCCCTTCATTTTATCTTTTTGATATCATTCTGCACTTTGAAGCATGACTTCTAGTTTCTCATGTCTTCCAGTCTTCCTAGCAGCTTTTCTCCTTCCTGATACCAGGTTATTTCCCTTCAAATTTTGGATACGTCTCAGATTCTCATCTCCTTGTCAAACTAGTTTAAAGCAACCTCAATAAGATTAGCTGTTTAAAGGTCAAACTAGAATAAGGATCATCACATCATGAACCACTGGGAACAAGGAGACAGGAGCTAGAACAGGAGCAAAGAAAGTCACAGATGGTAATTTGCTACAGAGATTTGCTTTAACCAATCTTGCCTTCAAGTCTCCTGGAGACAACAAACAGGTTGGTGAGTTTGCACCATGAAAAGGTAGATTGTTTTGTCCCTGAGAAGTGGGTCTGGTAGCATCAAATCTCTAGGCCAGCATTTTTCTGTTCCACTTGGATTATCAGAGCTTATTTAGAGATAATGGCTTCCCTTACTGGAAAATGATGACTGTAGTATCAACACAGATTCTTCTAATGCTATTAACCTACATGTTTTATTGTTCTAATTAGTGCATAAGCCTTTAGTTTAGGGGAATTAATAGCCACAGTATATGGAAATAATCCAAGGCCTGAAGTCTGACTTATTATAAGGGGAATTCCTCCACAAACCTCAAAAAACAGACTGTAGCAATTTACAGGGCTCTGGGTTTCTACAAGCTAATTCTGAAAATAAACTTCAATCTAAACAATTCAGCAAAAGATGTACGCTAGTATATTGGTCAAATAAACAGGAATAAAACTGTGGCATTAATTCCTCAAAAACAGAATTCAAATATACAATAGTTTTTTTTAAAAAAACAAGTCTTAGAATAGATTTATTTTCTGTGATCTTATAGACACTTATAGCAAATAACAAGCATAAAGGTATCAACCTCCTAGTCCTTGTGAATAATTGTTACAGTGTAACTCTTTTTATAATTAAACTAGCTTTAGTGCTACTTAAAATCAAGATAGTAGCAAATTTTTACACTTCCATACCTGATCGATTTCCCCTGTGGTCAGCCTTTGGTCCAATGCCACTGTCACTATTCATTCTGGTCCATCTAGTTAGTGACTCCTGATCGATGGACCAGTTACAGAAACCAGCCTCAAAGTTACATTTTTCACATGAAAAGCCTTATCAAAGAAAGAAAATGTTAATAATCTAAAACAATGTATATGAACACAACAACTCATTAATTATCAAAAAATGCTGAATAAATTCAACAGGTCCATCAGCATCTGTAGAGAAAGAAACAGTGTATGTTACAAATCGAGTAATTCTTCAGAACTGAAAGGGACTGAAAATGATTGTTTTGATGCTGTTGATGAAGGAGAGGAGGAGTGAATGAAAGAGATTGTGAGGGTATCAAAACCAAAAGGCAAACAGAATGCACATGGTAGTAAAGGAATGATAGAGTTGTAAAATGGGCGTAAATGATAAGTGTGAGAAGGAGAAAAATAACACTCAACACTGGAGCCTCCCCAAGGATACGTCCTCAGCCCCCTACTGTACTCCCTGTACATCCACAACTGTGTTGCCAAATTTCGAAGGAACGCCATCTATGAGTTCGCTGATGTCACCACCGTAGTAGGACAGATACCTAACAGCGACAAGTCAAAATACAGAAGGGAGATAGAGGGCGTGGTGATGTGGTGCAATGAGAACAACCTCTCCCTCAATGTCGACAAAACTAAAGAACTGATCATTGACTTCAGAAAGAAAGGAGGAGAACACGCCCCCATCTACATCATTGGAGCTGAGGTTGAGAAGGTGGAGAGCGTCAAGTTCCTCAGAGTGACGATAACCAACAACCTGTCCTGGACTTCCCACATAGATGCGACAGTAAAGCAGGCACAGCAATGCCTCTTCTTGCTCAGGTGGCTCAGGAAATTTGATATGTCCATAAGGACGCTCACCAATTCCTACAGATGCACCATTGAAAGCATACTGTCTGGGTGCATAACGGCTTGGTATGGCAACTGGTCTGCCCAGGACCGTAAGAAATTACAGAAGATTGTGTGCATAGCCCAGACCATCGTGGAAGCCAACCTTCCATCCATGGACTCCATTTACATGGTCACTGCGGTGGAAAACTGCCAACATCATCAAAGACCCATTGCACTCCGGTAATGATTTCCTGCAACCTCTTCCATCAGGCAGAAGATACAGAAGCCTGAGCACAAACATGAGCAGGTTCAGGAATAGCTTCTTCCCGGCTGTTATCAGACCGATGAATGGACTCTCTAGCCCCATATAATGCTGATCTTGCTAATGTTGATCTCACCTAACACACGCCCTCCGCAAGGTAACCTGTATGTCTCTGTCTAAGTTTTTATACAGCATCTGATCTGCACATCCTTGCTTACTATGATCTGCCTGTACTGCTCATAAACAAAGCTTTTCACTGTACTTTGACAAGTAATCTGACAATAAATCAATCAATCAACCAATTAAAATGGGCCCACTCTGCTGAGAGTAAAGCCAATGAGACACTAACAAGACACTTGAGTTCAGGTGGGGTGTAGTCTGGAGGACAGAGGTCATGTTCCTTTGACTGTTCTTAGTTTTAATTACAACCCCCTACTCTACCCCTGGCCATGGCCTGTTTGTGTCTTGTTGCCTTTACTCTCAGTAGACTTTATTTTCTCCTTTTCATAATAATCTTTTACACCCATTTTACATCTCTGTCTCTCCTTTACCACCGTTAACATTCTTTTTGTCCTTTGCTAAACCAAACCTTCACCATCTTTTTCATTCACTCCTCCTCCCCTTTGTCAACAGCATCAAAATAATCACTTGCCAGTCCCTTTCAGTTCTGAAGAAGAATCCGTCAATTTGAACAATTCACTCTGCTTCTCTTGTTTCTCTCCCCACAGATGCTGGCAGATCTACTGAGTTTCACCAGCACTTTTTGTTTTTGTTTCAGATTTCCAGCATCCACAGTTCTTTGTTTTATTGTATTGACAACTTCGCTGCAATAACTAACAATAATAATTTACCTTCATTGTCTATAATTAACATTTATAACTTTCTTTCAGTATTTATTACTGATGTTGATGACACATATCTTCAGAATTCATATGCCAGGAACATCATCACAGCCTGGGTTCTATTCCCAGTCAGGGAAAGTGGATTTATTGGGGTGGCACAGTGGCACAATGGTTAGCACTGTTGCATCAGTGTCAGGGACAAAGGTTCAATTCCACCCTCCCGCGACTGTCTGTGTGGAGTTTGCATGTTCTCCCCGTGTCTGCGTGGGTTTCCTCTGGGTGCTCCATTTTCCTCCCACTGTCCAAAGATGTGCAGTGAATGTGTACTGAACATGCTGAAAATTGCATTGTAGTGTCCAGGGATGTGCTGGCTAGTTGGGTTAGCCATTGGAAATGTGGGATTGCAGGGATAGTTTGGGGGGGTGCTGGGACTGGATGGGATGCTCTTAGGATGGTCAGTGTAGACCCAGTGGCTGAATGGCCTCTTTCCACACTGTAGGGATTCTATGACAGGTGTGTAATAGCATCTCTGAAAAGATTGATTAGAATACATTCGTCTCCATGACATGTTGTGGCATTCATGAGCCAGCTAGGAACAGCTGCGAATGACATGGTTGTGCACCAGCATAATTATGAAATGATCTACTTAGCAAGATTACAAGGCTCATTGTTCACAGATGCAGCTTTGAATTCCACTGAAGCGTGAATTTGTAAATGGTGTAGGAGTCAACAGCTTTGGTAAAATCAGATTGCAAAGTCTTCATAGAATAGATTAAGTATCTACTTTGCAACAGCAGTGCATCCATTAAATGTCAAAAGACACGAATACGTGACACAGTAATAAAAAGTGTGAGCCCTCTATCTCATTCAGAGGACACAAAGCACACTGAAAGAGGAAGCATCATGTTCTCACTTGCATACACCAATGGCTTTGGGATAAAAGCCAATGTTTCAATACATTTCTAATTATCTTTTAAAATGTATGTGAATAGTTTAGACATGGATGTCTGGAAGCAGCAGCCAAAGACATATTCAGTTGAGTAGCTTCACAAAGAGACTGAAATAAGAATTTTCCAAGTGAAATGAAACACTACAATTTGCCAAAAGTGATGAATGTGAGGTACCAGAAGAGGAAGTGATGGCTTAGAGAGAGCTCTGATCAGACACCATCTGGATTCCTACTTTGGGTCCAGGACATCAAACCTCAGGGAAGATACATTGACGTTCAAAGGATTATCAAAGAGTTGAATTACAAAAACAAGTTGCATAAGTTTGAATGGTACTCTGTTGAACTTAGAAGGTTTATCTAATTGAGCTGTTCAAAATGACTAATGGATTGAATACAGTCAGTACAGAGAAACTATTTCTTCTGGTGGATGTATTCAGAACAAAGGCATATTATGGAAGATTTTCCTTTTTATTTGTCTAAGTGTGGGTTAGGTACCCCTCTATCTGAGAGACCTCCCTCATCCCACCAGTGAGAAGTGATCAGGTGCCAATGAGGTGACCCAGCTGACTTTTCAAACTGAGATGCCCTACTTCATCTGAGGTTACCAGTTAATTTGAGGGCAACAGCCACTTAGTACAGCAGTAAAGCATAGAAAGCCTGTGTTACTAGATAAGTAGCAGTGCAGCAGACTCTGTGTTTTTATTTGCAGTGGGGTGGCAGGGTGGGGGAGGAATTATGGGTAGAGTGAGAGAGATGTCAGGCCAGTTGGAGGCATGGATAGGGGTCAAGGCCAACCTGACAGGCAGGTTGCCCCATTTTCCCAATTGGTAAGGCTGCCATTTTTCTCGCTTGCCAGAAAGAAGGTTAATCGGGTCAGTGCAGTTTGAGGCCTTTAAGTGGTCATTATTTAACCATTTCAACCTTGTAATTTGGTGCTGAGTTGGAAAGATCACCAATGGAATTCCCAGCCAGAAATTAATTTCTGAGGTGAAGGAAAGAGGCCGGTTATCTTTGTGCCAACCCACCAGATTATTTGCCTTCCTTCCATCTTCCCATCACTTCTCATAAAGGGAAAATCCTGCCAAAAATCTTTAAATTAGCGCTAGAGAGAAAACACTTATTCACAGAGTGTTTGGTGGAAAAAAATGAATAATTCTCCCCTAAAAGGCAATAGCTATTTATTTAATTGAATCTTTGACAAAGATAGAGGCCTATCTTACTTTCTTTGGCTAAGTGCCAGTTGCGTTGAGTTTTTGGGAAGGAATCTTGCTGTGAGGCCTAGTGGGATTTTGCACTGTATTTTACCAAACTTGCCCCATTAACTATCTACCGCAATCCTACGGCACCTTTGTGTTAGATTCTAACTTTATCACACAGCATACTGGGAACTCACCACTCATCAGATGTCTGCTGCACTGTATTTGAAAGATCATAGTGCACCCGGACAAATACTGACCTTCCAAAGTTTCCCTGCTCAGTTCAAGACAGAATCTGAACATATTGTTCAGGGGAAGATGGCCGCTCACTTCTCTGATAGGGACCTGAAGGGACACGATCTTATTGGAGGGCAGGCCATGCTATCAGACTTTAGCAGCCAAGTCCAAAGTTGCCACTTCAGCTGAAGGTGTCTCAATGGTTTGAGGAAAAGCCAGCACTGCCATATGGAGGTCACTCAATTCCTCCCTTTTCCTCATTCCAAAAGAAGCCAGCTCACAACAGAGCAGAAAGGAAGATGGAGGAGTGCGTGGCATTCGACTCCTCATTCCCTATGAGGAGCGAATCCTGGCCCTCGCAGGAGAAAAGACTGAGACCACTCCTGCAATGATCCCAAAATGTCTGTATCCCACCAACTGGCGATGTACCACTCTTCACTCCCTACAACTCTCACAATAACACTGCTATCAGCGTCATTCATTGCACGCCATATCTAACCCCAGGTCAAGATATCTTCTCACTCTTTTGTCTGGGAGACACCACTAGTACATCCACTATCACTGCTGTGAAATGGCCAGCTTCCCCAGAAGCCACCTTCTCAACCTCTGAGGACAAGCGTACCAAGGTCTTAGGGGCAGCATTGGCAAAGCTGTGCCCTACACACTCCCCAGGCCAGATATTAGACTTCTTGTCTGATTCTGTCACAAATGTTATAATAGCCTATTTTGCTCAAATCACTATAATACTCCAGCGTATGTGT